TAGAGCGTCAGCCTGCGGACTGAGGGGTCCCGGGTTCGATTCCGGTCAGGGGCGTGTGCCTGGGTTGCTGGCACATCCCCAGTGGGAGGTGTGCAGGAGGCAGCTGATCAATGACTCTCTCTCATAGATGTTTCTGACTCTATCTCTCTCCCTTCCTCTCTGTAAAAAATCAATAAAATATATGTTTTTAAAAGTTGTAAACAAAATGTTTCCCTCTCTGACACATTTTCCCACTGAAAACATCTTCCTATCACTAACATAATCGCAATAGAAAAGAGCACAGAGATTACAACTCCAGACCTGCCAACTCCTAACTAAACTCTGGCCTCTCAATTTTTTTCCTTCTTCAGATGAAAATCCCACCTTGTTGGACCGGTTAGTGACTGGAACCTCCACAACAGAGGCAGAAGCCTAGCCCAGGACCTGGTACCTGGTGAGCTCTAGATAAATGGTAGCTATTATCACCATGGTCATAATTTAATATTGAGAGGCATGGCTACAGAAATGACAAAATCTTCCCTGCAAAAGAACATAACTAGAGCCTAACAAAGGGAATAGGCATGATGTGTATTTGGTGCATAACAGCTGCCACGTACTTTCCTAAACCCTTGGTTCATTTGTTTTCTACGTTAATTCATTTAATTCTCATCTCCACCTTTACCGGTAAGGAAAGTCAGATGCTCACTCAGGGTCTAGCAAATCTAAAAAGACTGAGCCCAGAGCCTGTGCTCTGAAACACTGCAAAGCCTTCCACGGAGAGTCCTCCTCCTCAGTCAGGTTATTACACCTAAGGTTTGAGTTTGAAGAGTCTTTGGGCCCCACCCTCTCCTGTTTAAATTTGAACACTATCCAAAGCTAACTCAACGTTAAAGAGGAGAACAACCTGGTGTTTTTAAGAGCGTGAACGGATGAGTCAGACAGCTAGGTAGGAAGGCCTGCTGTGAGGCACATACCAGCGAGGCTACCTTAGCTTTCCTGACCTCAGTTTCCTCATCTGCAAAATGGGAATAAGAGCAGCACCTACTTCACGAGCTGTTTCCGAGTCCTAATGCCAGAACTCACTGTAAATTACTTACATTCATTGTAATAATGAGAACCCCGGAAGTGAAGTGGGGGGAGGTGGGATTCAGGAACCACAGAAAGCGGAGCTGGTCCCGGGTGTGACCAGCTGACAGGAGCGAGGACCCGCCCCGCGCCCCCCGCCGCCCCGCGGCCCCCGCGCCAGCCCGCGCTCACCGCTCTTGGGTTTAGACTCGCCGGCCGGCCCCGCGGACGCGGAGCGGGGCGGCTGTTGCCCTTTGCTGCTGCCCGAGGAGGCGGAGCTGCTGGGGCCGCTGCTCTTGTCCATGTCGGAGGCGCTGGCGGCGGCGTTGGGGGAGCTCAGCGGCATCAACGGGGGCCTCGGCGGCGGCGGCGGTCGGAGCGGAGCGGGCGCGGCGGGGACCCAGGCTCATGGCGTTCGGGGCCGGAGGGGGTCGGCGGCGGCAGCGGTTCTCGGCCTTCATGGCGACATTTTTCCGTTTCCTTACTCGGCTTCTCAAATTGGGAGGAGAAGCGGCGGGCGGGGCTGGGGAGCCCGGCGGCGGCAGTGACCGAGACGGCGGAGGAGGCCGGGGCTCGGAGGTCCGGGCCGGGCCTGGCGGGGCGGAGGTTGCGGGGAGCGGGGAGGCGCAGGAGGGTGCGCAGGCCCCGCCGGCCGGCCGGAGACGCTCTCCCGCCGCGGGGCAGGGAGAGGGCTGGCTGTCTTGGTGCCGGGGACCGGGGTCTCCGACACAGCGACCGACACTCGCCCCTGGGCCGAGGCCGAGCTGCTCCGGGAATGGCGACGAGTCGCCAAACAGCATCTCGAAGAACCCGGATGGAGTATATATAGTGGAGATGTGGAATGGTGCACTCTGGGAAATGTAGTTTTCAGCTTTCATCCGGGTCCAATGATTTCCACCTGAGCTCACACAGTTGAGAGCATACAGGATGATGGAATTTGTAGTTCAGTTTTTAGAATTAGTACACTAATAATGTTGCATTACTACTATATAATAATAATATACACTACTACTTATAACCCACCCAAACATTGGAATACCTGTGTAATTACTTTACTGATCTATTAATTTATACTTATACAAGAATTAATATCAATTTATTCATGGTTTATCCTAGCTCTTAGTAATAACCATAATAGCAACAATAATGGAAAAATCTTACATTTCATATGACTTTATAGCACTTTCTCATGTAAACTTTATTTCATTGCTAATAAATCATTTATTAATGTAATTCATTGTTAACATTTCATTTCATTAATAATAGTCGTTATTCAGTGTAATGCTGTACAGTTTATATAGATTATCACACTCCTCACAATAACTCAAATTTATAGACGAGGGAATGGGTTAAAAAAGCTTAAGTCAATGCTCCGCCCAAGTTGCCTAGTGGTTGAGAGTTGACCTATGAACCAGAAGGTCATGATTTGACTCCTGGTCAAGGCACGTGTCCGAGACTTTGGGCTTGATCCCCAGGGTGGGTGTGCAGAAGGCAACAGATCATTCTCTCTCATCATTGATGTTTCTATCTGTTTTCCCCTCTCCTTTCCTCTCTGAAGTCAATAAAAACATATTTTAAAATAAAAACTAGTTTAGTGAGAAGCTTGTTGTTTTTATTGCTCAGAGTTGCCTATATTAACTTGAAAAGGCCTAAAACAATAAGCAAAAGCATCCCATCCCAGAGGTTCCACAAAAATCCTGGTGAAACTGGATGGCAGCCAGCTCGTAAAAATTCATTTGGATAAAGTACTACAGAACAATATGGAAAATGAGATCAAAACTTTTTCTAGTGTCTATAAGAAGCTCACAGACAAGGATGTTAATTTTGAATTCCCAGAGTTCCAGTTGAAAACGAAAATGACTAAATACAATATCATTCATATGAAGAAAAGAAAAGAAAAAAGAAACTACAATGGAAAATAGTGATAAGGGCTTTAATAAAGTTAACACCAAATGCTGACTAGGGCAGAAGCTCCAAGGTGAGAAGTACCAACAGTTGAGAGGAATAAAAGAGGACTTCCCAGGGGTGGTGTCACTTGAGCTGAGCATAGAAGACTGAGTGAAATTTTAGCAGTCAAATATGAACAAATAAATAGGTAGACAAAATCCTCGGATTCCTGTAATTGGGCCTTTTCTTGGCTTCTTATTAATCATGACATTATACAAAACATTAATGAGTATATATAAGCCAATCAGTTTCTTAAAGTTATCAGTTTTAACTGGGACAAATAAAAGTAGATACTAATCTTATGTATTTTTTATATTTTTATTGATTTCAGAAAGGAAGAGAGAGGGAAAGAGAGATAGAAACATCAATGATGAGAGAGAATCACTGACTGGATGTCTCCTGCATGCGCCCTACTTGGGATCGAGCCCACAACCCAGGCATGTGCCCTTGAATCAAACCTGGGACCTTTCAAGTCCACAGGCCAATGCTTCATCCACTGAGCCAAACCAGTCAGGGATAATCTTATATTTTAAAATTTCCTTAATATATCCTCCACCAGTCCTTACCTTGGTTCACCTTTTCCACTTTTTTTTTTTTTTTGCCCCCACAGATCATATTGAAATGAGAGAATACCTACACAATGTTGGTTTGGAAACTTAATTTGATTTTAGAAGAAACATCCTCAAATCCTGAGGTCCATTCTCATGCATGACTACATTTGAAAGATATACTAAGATTTGCCGGAACTGGTTTGGCTCAGTGGATAGAGTGTCGGTCTGTGGACTGAAGGGTCCCGGGTTCAATTCTGGTCAAGGGCATGTGCCTTGGTTGCGGGCACATCCCCAGTGGGGGTGGTGCAGGAGGCAGCTGATCCATGTTTCTCTCTCATCGATGTTTCTAGCTCTCTGTCCTTCTCCCTTCCTCTCTGTAAAAAAAAAAAAAAAAAAAAAAAAAAAAAAATCAATAATATATATATATATATATGAAAAAGAAACATATACTGATTCCTTGATGAATTTTTATTTCCTTTAACAAAGATATGAGAACTCTGATTACATGGATGAATCATTCCATCCATCACACATAAAGATAAAAGAGAAGGGACGAGAAATCCCCGTGCAGTTCTTCCAAAACAAAGTGGTAGGTGTTCATCTGTCAGGCTACATTACACCAGAAAAAAAAAAATGTTATGTCCAAAATAGTTTCGTAGGGTCCTTGTGAAATATTTGTAGGAAACGTGCACTTAAAAAGAATCATACCGCCCCCATCTTCTTTTGGGCAAGATGGACTCTACCATTTCCATAAAAAGAAAAGAATGGGAAAATCTGGGTTTGAAGTAAAATACCTATGCTATGCCAGCTGGAGCTAGAAATGCAGCTGTGCCGCAGCAGGAGAGGAAGTGTGAATGGTGATTTGTTCTGACTTGCTATCGTTCCCATTTCTTTCCAATGTTTACTTTCCAGCGTAGTCTAGCATATGTTTCTCAAGAATGGTCTGTGAATTCCGTGCGTCAGAATCACGTGAAAAGTTTGCTCAAGTAAAGATTCCCCAAACCCATATCAGATTGCCTGGTTGAAAAATCTCTATAATTGGGGGCCTGGCAGTCTGCATTGTAAAAGCTCAAGCCAGGTGATTCTTATGCATGCCACAGTTTGAGAGAATTGGCCTGCCATCTTAGCCTTTTACCACACTGCACCTCAGTTCCCCCTCTTCGTCACCAAAAAACAAGAGTTATTGGGTATCTTGCGAGTTGGTACTGATAATAGGTTGGCAAGATTCAGAGACGTGGCCGCTGAGAGGTGATTGGGGGGGTCTCCCTAAGGTCCGCTTATTCCTGGTGACTTGTGTTCAATTTGGGGAGAGAAAGAAAGGACTTCGAGTACTCAATGACGAAGTAGACTCCGGATTCCAGAGATCATGCCTAACTCCTTAATATCAGGATTCTGGGCGCGTTCGACTAATTATGTCCCTGACCAGCCGCCGTCAGCCGCCTAGTGACGCAACGTGACGTATCGCCTGGCTCCTGTCAGCCGACTGTCAAGATGGCGGCCCCCAGCACTCGCGCTCTGTGGGGCTACTGCGGCCGGGGGTGGTCGCGGGCGATGCGGGGCTGCCGGCTCCCCGGGCTTCGTAGCTCCTGGCCAGGGAGTCCGCTGGGCGCGCGGCTCCTGTCCCAAGAGAAGCGGGCATCGGAAACGCACTTCGGGTTTGAGACTGTGTCGGAGGAGGAGAAGGGGGACAAAGGTGAGAGGGGCGAGAGGGCGGGTGGAGGGGAATGACCGCCCGCGGTCTAGCTCCTTTTCCCCAGCTAACGTGGAGTTCTGTTAGCTCCGGTGCTGTAGTCCCGAGCCTGACTCTTCAGAGCTTCCACGCCTCCTCTTTAAAGCGGAGCAATTATCGGAAAATCCCATCGATCTAGCGTTTATAATGTGCCAGGCACCGTGCAGACTTCTTGGTGGTGGGTATTGTATTCCCCATGTGACCCATGAGGACTCTGAGACTTACAGGTTAATCAAGAACTTGTCTCGTTGAACATAGGAAGTGGTGGAACCATTACTCCAATTCAGTTTGGTCTGACTACAGAGCCACGTTCTTAACCTCTTGATAATAGAGTAGGTGTGTTGTTGTTTTTTTAATAGAAAAGAAAAAGGAAAGTATCTTCTCTGTACTTCAGATTCCAAATTTGCCAAGTAGGAACAATAGTAACACTTCTCTCAGAGTTCTTGTGAGAATTAGATTACTTGACACATGAAAATTATTTTGAACAATGCCTGACACTGCTTAATTGTTCAACAAATATTAGATATTACTGAGCAGTTTCTTAGCATGGAGACACAGGCCTGGGAAAGGAAAAGAGCAGTTTTTAAACTCCCGCTAACCATTTGCAGTGGCTGTGATGTTATGCCCATTTTACTGATGGATAGGTCAGGCTCCCAAAGGCCCCTCCCTTAGCCTATGGTCACCCAGGAAACAAGAAAAAGCTTACAGTGCAATTTACCACCCTCTGGAAGGCTGCCAGAGTGTATTATTCTCACCTCCAGCTTTCCAAGTGTTTAGGTGTACTGTAACTCTTTGAATATTTGATTTAAATTTATTTCATTGTGAATCCCCAGAAAGCTAAGGAACAATGGCTCATTCATGTTTATATCCTCAGTGCCTGATGTACATTAGGAGTTTTATACCTGCATGTGGAGTGAAATAAGTGGAACCAAGTTAAACAATAGTAAACATTTATTGAGAGCCTAAAACCTCTTAAGGTACTTTACATTAATTTTTATAAATACAACCCAATGGTTTTATAGATGAAGAAACTGTTAAAACAGAAATATTAAGTCACTTGCCCGAGATTCCCTAATAAGCTACAGAGCTGGCATTTTAATCAGGTGGGTTGCTTCCAAAATGTTAATAATATCTAACGTCTGTATTTTGCCTTACATTATATAAACATTTCACACAATGAGAAGCAGGGAGTGGAATTACCCACTGAGCTAAATACAGCTTCCAGATTTAAGACTCAAGATAGAATTACAGGCAGGATGGTAAAAATGACTGTGCAAGCTGAAATCATGCACAGTGATCTTAATAACCAATGGGATTATAATTATTACATGGACTTTAAAAATTATTGGACATCCAAAACTCTTGTGTCAGTTGTAAATGTATAGGGAAATTGAAAGACATTAAAGTTAATATTTTTCTTTTTTTAAAATATATTTTATTGATTTTTTTACAGAGAGGAAGAAAGAGGGATAGAGAGTTAGAAACATCAGCTGCCTCTTGCACACCCCGCACTGGGGACATGCCTGCAACCAAGGTACATGCCCCTGACCAGAATCGAACCCGGAACCTTTCAGTCCACAGGCCAACGCTCTATCCACTGAGCCAAACTGGTTTTGGTCTAAAGTTAATATTTCTTTAGCATAATTTATATATAATTATCTTAGGCTTAATTTTTAATTCAATTAATAGAATGATTAAATTTCAGTTTAAATTTTTTAATTAAAATTCTAATAACAAATTAGAAACATTGAGAATTAAGTGCCTGGCTCCTCACACGGGCATCACTTTGCCGGGGCTGCCCAGCAGCCCCTGACAGGGATGAACAGCTCACTCAGACAGCTTCCCTGTGAAAGAGGACTAAGGGGTTTCTGGCTCAAGGAACCAAGCAGTCTTGGTTGCCTGCCTCCTTAGGCTTTTATTGGACCAGCAGTTTGAGATAAAGTTTATCTTTTATTTTTATTTTTATTTTTTTTAAATATATTTTATTGATTTTGTACAGAGAGGAAGGGAGAGAGATAGAGAGTTAGAAACATCGATGAGAGAGAGTCATCGATCAGCTGCCTCTTGCACACCCCCTACTGGAGATATGCCTGCAACCAAGGTACATGCCCTTGACCAGAATCGAACCCGGGACCCTTCAGTCCCCAAGCCGACGCTCTATCCATTGAGCCAAACTGATCTTGGCAAGTTTATCTTTTAGATACAATCAGCGGGTGAGTAATCTTAGGAGCACACATGTTTACATTTTCCTCTAGGCTAGGGCATCCAGGGATTAAGCATAAGCATCCTGTAAACACCCAGGGTCTGCGGGTACACAGACTTGTTTGGGAAGGTCAAGGCATAATTAGGGGCGCCGCCTTCGACACTCCCCTACGTCTCCCCTAAGTCAGAATTCCGATAAACGGGGAGACGCCTTCCACACACTTCCCTTTTCTCAGAGTGTCCTCCTTACACCTTTTCCAGCCAAGTCTCATGCTCCCCAACCATTAAGTGGTTTTATTCCTTTGTAAAAAAAAGTTACCGATATTTTGAACAGCGTTCGCTATCTTCTCAGCATTTAATTTACAGTAGGGGTGAGCATCTTCTCTATGCCTTGGCAAATTGCCATACTCCTTCCAAAATTCCAACAGTTTCCAACATTTTCTCCTTTCACTTTCTTTTTTTTAATATATTTTTTTATTGATATCAGAGAGGAAGGAAGGGGGAGAGAGAGACAGAAACATCAATGATGAGAGAGAATCATTGACTGGCTGCCTCCTGGGATTGAGCCCACAACCCAGGCACATGCCCTTGACTGGAATCGAACCCCGGACCCTTAAGTCCGGATGCTCTATCCACTGAGCCAAATCAGCTAGAGCTTATCCTTTCACTTTCAATGTCATGAATTATCTCCAAGAATTCCTTTAATGTGAACTTTTTTGCTGGCATCGTTTCCTCTGGGGCATCTTCAACGTTTTCATCACAACCTCATCCTCATTTATGTCAGTGAGTCCATCTCACAGAGATCTGCTGCATCTGGAGGCTCTGAATCACAGCAGTGTCACATTCCACGGCCAGCCGTTTCTCCTACAACTCCACTGACATCTATTTCTTTTTTTTTTTTTAATGTATTTTATTAATTTTTTACAGAGAGGAAGAGAGAGCTGAGCCAAACCGGTTTTGGCCATTGACATCTATTTAAATGTCACTTTCACCGTTATCAACTTTTTATTCTTTGCTGCACTTTCATTTTTGTTGGCAAATTTCCTCTTAATTATCCAGTTTTGTAAAATGCCACGTTTTCAACAGAGATAAGGGGGTAACACAACTACATGCTTCGCTGTCTATGTGTGAACTGAACAAGTGATGTATAGTGACCCACCACTTAACAAACTATGGAAGAAGTTACATGGCTAGTTATCTGTCGTGATGTATATTTGTGATTTATATAGTAATTTGTGGACTAAAGAAGTATTAGTGCCGAAACCGGTTTGGCTCAGTGGATAGAGCATCAGCCTGTGGACTGAAAGGTCCCAGGTTCGATTCCGGTCTAGGGCATGTACCTTGAATGCGGGCACGTCCCCAGTGGGGGATGTGCAAGAGGCAGCTGATAGACGTCTCTCTCTCATCGATGTTTCTAACTATCCCTCTCTCTTCCTCTCTGTAAAAAATCAATAAAATATATTTTTAAAAAGTTTAAAATCAATCAATAAATAAATAAATTTTAAAAAATCAATAAAATATATTTTAAAAAAAAGAAGTATTAGTGAACTTTACACTTTATGCAGTTACAGTTAGTATGCCATTGTATTTTTTTAAAATATATTTTATTGATTTTTTTTTTTTTTTTAGAGAGGAAAGGAGAGGGATAGAGAGTTAGAAACATCGATGAGAGAGAATCACCGATCAGCTGCCTCTTGCACACTTCCCACTGGAGATGTGCCCGCAACCCAGGTACTACATGCCCCTGACCGGAATCGAACCCGGGACCCTTCAGTCCGCAGGCTGACGCTCTATCCACTGAGCCAAACGGGTTTCAGCTGTATTTTTAAAATATTATTGGGGGACTGGTATTATTTAACTAAACCATAATAACTGGAATTCATGCATTTTAGAACCATGCAAAGCTAGGGGTGGTTATACACAGTGGTTTGAGCCTGTGTTGCTCAACTCCTCAAAAGATGTTCAGAAGGAAAAGGCCTAGCCAGTTTTGCTCAGTGGATAGAGAGTATTGGCCTGAGACTGAAGGGTCCCAGGTTCAATTCGAGTCAAGGGCACTTACCTTGATTACAGGTTCCCTGCCCCTGGTTGGGGTGCTTGCAGGAGGCAACCAACTGGTGTGTCTCTCTCATCCCAATGTTTCTCTCTATCCTTCTCTCTCCCTTCCACTTTCTCTAATAATCAATGGAAAAATATCCTCAAGTTAGGATTACCAAAAAAAAAAAAAAAAAAAAAAAAAAAAAAAAAAAAAAAGAAAGAAAAGGAAAAAGCAAACTTGGAGATCCCAGTGTTGAGAATGGGCATTCAAGATTGAGTTGAGGAGGAATTCCGTGATTGTTAATTCAGCAGAGGACAGTTATGTTTTGGATCATCTCATCTGAAAAACTCAGAGAATCTCCCCTTCACTGCCTAGTTCAGCCTGTGGCAGGGAGGCAGGGAGGGACTGGCACTGGTTTTCTCATCTTATGGGCAGAGGAACTGAGGGGTAGAGAAGTTAACTGTAGCCTGTCTCCTAAAGTAAACTCTTCCCAGCTAGCCCAGATTCCACATTCGGCTTGATCCTATGGAGATGATTCACGAGGACCCTCTGCAATGTAATGCAACCCTGATTCACATCTTGCCATCCACCTGCCCCCTGAGTTTTTTCTCGGTGATACAGGCTGAGATGACCTGAGGCTTTCCTTTCCATTAGCTACCGTATTTTTCGGACCATAAGACGCTCCAGACCATAAGACGCACCAGTTTTTAGAGAAGGGAAATGAAGAAAAAAAGATTCTGAAACAAATAGTGTCCTAAAATATTTTATGTGCATTAAAACCCAACATCACAGTCATAAACACATGTAATCAACCCTGTAAAGTAAACAGCAGCATTTAGAACCATTTTAGAGCCAGGCAAGCACACAGAGACCACACAGAGCCGGGCAAGTAAAAAAACTTTTTTTTTAAAGTATATGTGTAGGCTATATTTGGACCATAAGACGCAGGGACTTTTTCCCCCCACTTCTGGGGGGGAAAAAGTGCGTCTTATGGTCCGAAAAATACGGTATGTGTCTTTCTAATGGATTTTGTTGTCTCTTATTATAATAACCATTAGAAAGAATTCCACCATCACCCCTATCCTCTAAGAAACAGAAATCTATTTAGTACCACGTATGTGTATGGCATGATTACAAAGTAATGGTCAAAAAATATCTAAGACAGAAAAGAGGTTGATTTTTTATTTTTTTATTTTATTTTTTTAAAAATACATTTTATTGACTTTTTTACAGAGAGGAAGGGAGAGGGATAGAGAGTTAGAAACATCAATGAAAGAGAAACACTGATCAGCTGCCTCCTGCACACCCCCTACTGGGGATGTGCCCACAACCAAGGTACATGCCCTTGACCGGAATCGAACCTGGGACCCTTCAGTCCATAGGCCTTTTTGATTTTTGATTTTTTAAATGAAGAAATACAGACCTTTTTAAGAAGAGGTAATGTTGAGCATCATGGCTTAGGTTCGTCCTGGAAAGGCAGGCAGTTTCAGGGGGCGAAACTTCCTTCTCTTTCTTTTAGGACTTTTCCAAGTTAATCTCGTCCGTGGCACATTATGTTGTGTTTCTTCCACATCAGTTTACCAGGTGTTTGAAAGTGTGGCCAAGAAGTATGACGTGATGAATGACATGATGAGTCTTGGCATCCATCGTGTCTGGAAGGACGTGCTGCTCTGGAGAATGCACCCGTTTCCTGGGACCCAGCTCCTCGATGTAGCCGGAGGCACAGGTACCGTCCGTGTCAGTCTCCCAGGCTCCACCGCGCCTTCTGCGCGATCAGCGTCTCCTGTTGGAATGAGCTGCCTTGCCTCCCATTAGCCTGAAGTTGGTGGTTGAAAATCAACATGCTTCTGAGAAAGGTGTACTCTTTTTTTTTTTTTTTTTTTTTTAAACTCAACGTCAATCAAAGGCACAAAATGTCAGCTTTGTGCCTGTCACTTTTCTAAAATGCACAGATTACAGAGTGAAAAGACCAGTTTTTCACTCCAGTGACATCCTACCGTCTAAATGACTCACCACCTTTACCATCTTTCTCAGGTTGGGGAGCATGCCTTTATCATATTATATAAGCTTTCTAGGCAGCTTCTCCTGCTTAATCCATTGTCACGCCAGGTATCCGCAGCGCATTGGTGTATGCATGCTCCTTTGGTGCACCCTAGACATTAGGGGAAAATATCATGGATTTCTAAAATGCCTCATGTGATATCATTACATGGCTAACGTGCATGTTAAATGTACATTACAATGTATGATATAATGCAGTAGTGTTATTGTACCAACAGAAAATGTTTAATAAATTATAGTAGAATAACCTCCATGTTTGAAACAAACGTGGCTTTGTTGACATGGCCCTCTCCCCAAATGAATCTTAGAAGGCAGAAAAAAAAAATTCTGCTCCGTGGAGGACACACAATTTAGCAGTGTAACAGTTTATCGTAGGGTCCCACAGTTACAATTCTAAAAAAATGGCACGAAGATAAAGTTCAGAAGGGGTTCAGTCGGAGCTGCCTACATCTCCAGTGTACCATGACCGGTAGCATCACTTCATGCTGACAGCTGCCCATTTAGAAAATGTAATTAAAAGGAGTTCCCATATGTTTAAAAAGACATTTAAGAAGATATAGCTAGCCCTAGCCAGTTTGGATCAATGGATAGAGCATCAGCCCGAGGACTGAAGCGTCCTGGGTTCTATTCCAGTCAAGGTCATGTGCCTCCGTTGCAAGCTCAATCCCCACCCCTGATGAGGCCGTATGTGGGAGTCATCCAATCAATGTGTCTCTCTCATATCGATGTTTTTCTCTCTCTGTCTTACCCCTCCCTTCCACTCTCTAAAAATCAATGGAAAAATAACCTTGGGTGAGGATTAACGAAAACAAACAACCAATATATAACTATAAATATGCTCACTGCATCATTTTTTGTAATACTAAAAAAAATTTTTGAAATAACCAATTTATCCCTCAATAAAGCAGCTGCTTTAGCCCTAGCTGTTTTGGCTCAGTGGCTAGAGCGTCAGTCTGTGGACTGAAGGGTCCGGGTTTCATTCCAGTCAAGGGCACTTACCTAGGTTGTGGGTTTGAATCCCTAGTGGGGGCTGTGCAAGAGGCAGCCTATCAATGATTCTCTCTCATCATTGATGTTTCTCTCCCTCCCTCTCCCTTCTTCTCTGAAATCTATAAAAATATATATATATTTAAAAAAAAAAAGAAAATGTTATTTCAGAAAGCACTCACTTTGCTGGAACAGTATTTACCTGGTCACATTATTAAACACTTTTTTTTTTTTTTAAATATATTTTATTGATTTTATACAGAGAGGAATTGAGAGGGATAGAGAGTTAGAAACGTCGATGAGAGAGAAACACCGACCAGCTGCCTCCTGCACACCCCCCACTGGGGATGTGCCCATAACCAAGGTACATGCCCTTGACCAGAATCGAACCCGGGACCTTTCAGTCCGCAGGCCGACGCTCTATCCACTGAGCCAAACCGGTCCCGGCTGATTTTTAGCTTTTAGACTCACCACCAACATAGGGCAGAAGGCTTAATTATAGCTATAAGACAAATAAAACGTCACCAGTTTTGACAGAGTAAAAGTACATAGGATGGAAGATTGAAGGGAGCCCAGAGATACTGTCTGTAGCTGACGGAATAAGAAATCAACTACTGATTAGTTTATTATGCTAAGTTACCCAGGTATTATGAGGAATTGTGAAAAGTGATATTGAGCAGAGGCAAGCAGAAATGGGGAACAGGATATCATAAATTTGGTAAGGAAAGAAATAACTGTAACGTACAGCTGTAACGTAGAAGAAACAGCTAAAGGAGTTGGGAAAGATGGTCTCTGGAGAACTGAACTGGAAGAGAGATGGTGATGGGAAAGGAAATTATTGCTTGGAACTAGGTTATTTCCATAAACATTATTAGAAAAAGAGTAGAAGGCTGTGCACTAAACTCTGAATACTTGTAATGTCTGGAAACGGTATGGACAGAGAATGCAATGTTCATGTTTTATTCTAAAAATTGAGATAGTGAGTCTTTTATAGTAAGAATATGTTCATAAAAGAAAGAAAAGAATATGTCCATCCATTATTTATGCAATTTTTAAATAAAGTTTTCTAAAGAATATTAGGAGTTAAAAAATAGCAGTTACTGTGGAGATGAGAACAAACTTCATTTCCGTACACTCCTCAGCTCCTGCAGCTTGTTGTCACTTTGGAGTTAGGAAATGCTGGGCTCGATTTATGTTTCCATCTTTCCTCCCTGGCTTCCCACAGGTGACATTGCCTTCCGGTTCCTTAATTACATCCAGGCCCAGCATCGGAGAAAGCAGAAGAGGCAGTTAAGGACCCAGCAAAATTTATCCTGGGAAGAAATTGCCCAAAAGTACCAGAATGAAGAGGATTCCTTGAACGGTTCCCATGTCGTGATCTGTGACATCAACAAGGAGATGCTGAAGATTGGAAAGAAGAAAGCCTGTGCACAAGGATACAAAACTGGCAAGTCCTACAGAAAGTGCACAGAGGAAATGCTTATTCTATATAATAATCCTATATAATAAAAGGGTAATATGGAAATTGACCAAATGGCTGAACAACCAGTCGCTATGGCGCGCACTAACCACCAGGGGGCAGATCCTCAACACAGGAGCTGCCCTCTGGTGGTCAGTGCGCTCCCACAGGGGAGCGCTGCCCAGCCACAAGCTGGGTGGACAGCTGGTGAGCACAGCAGCTGTGGCAGCACTAAGCCACCAGTCAGACTTCCCCCAGGGCTCCTTGACTGCTAAAGGGCGCAGGCCAGGCTGAGGGACCCCCTCTCCTACCCCTGAGTGCACGAATGTCATGCATCGGGCCTCTAGCATGTTTATAAAATAAGATGGAATGGGGGAAATGCTGAAGTGCTTTATTTTTCTGCTTTAGAAAACATAGCTATGTAGAAGTTGAAGGTAATCTGTGGGGGTGGATCCAGTTTGTGTGGTTTTATGCACATTATGTCCGCAGCCTAGAGAGTTAGGTTATCAGCCCTATGTGACAGGGAGCTGACTGAGCCCAAAAGGGTTACATATCTTAGCCAAGTAACAACTTAAATGGCAGATCTCCCACTGGAGCAGAGGCTTCTGATCTCAGCTCCTGGACCCTGAGACAGAAGTTTTGCTTTCAATTCCCAGCAGCTCCCCATAACCCCAAATGTCCTATTCTTGAGCCACTCCACTTCCCTGTTAGCTCTAGGATGGTTTGATGTGGAAGTCGAGAAAGTGCACTGCCCTTAAAAAGGGGGCTTTGCCTTCGGCCATGGGAGTGTAGTTAGCTGCCAGCCTCCAGCTCAGCACCTGCAGGCTCCGCTCGCTTGCCAGCCAGCCAGCACCAGCTGGTGGCTGAGCACTGGGAGGCTGCCCGGCTGGACTCAGCAGGCAGGCTTTGTTCCAGGGCCCCCTGTCGGTAGGCTGAGGCTTGGGGTCTAACAGGTTTCCCCATCCAGTCTTGCTTCCTCTTCCTTCCATCTCTTTTATCTTTCCCAGGTGCCTCCCCCCAAAGAAATAAAAAAACCTTTTCACTTCATCTCAGCATCAGTTTCTCAGAAGGTCCAACGGATACAGTGAGGAAGCACCTGTAAACAGTACAGTGGGACCTAAAATAAAAAATTTTTAAATATTTTTTTATTGATTTCATAAAGGGATGGAGGGAGAGAAAGAGAGAAACATCGATGAGAGAGAATCACTGATAGGCTGCCTCCTGCACACCCCCCACTGGAGATCAAGCCCAAAACGTTGGCATGTGCCTTTACCAGGAATCGACCCGTGACCTCCTGGTTCATAAGTTAATGCTCAACCACTGAGCTACATTGGCTGGGTTAAAATTTTAAAAAAATTTTTGGTTCAATGTTTTTGTTATAAGAATGATGAGAGAAAAAAAAGTTTGATTACTGGCCAGGACCACCATCTGTGTAGAGTTGGCATGTTCTCCCCATGTCTGTGTGTTTTCTCCAGGTATTCCAGTTTCCTCCCACACCCCAAAGCTGTGCACTGAGGCGAACTGGCGTGTAATAAATGGTCCCAGTCAGAGTTAGAAAGGGTGTATGAGTGTGCCTGTGATGGAAAGGTGTCCTGCCCAGGCTCAGTTCTTTCTTTCTTTCTTTTCTTTTCTTTTCTTTTTTTTTTTTTTTTTTTTTTTTTTTAATATACTTTATTGATTTTTTAAAAAATATATATTTTATTGATTTTTTACCGAGAGGAAGAGAGAGGGACAGAGAGCCAGAAACATCAATGAGAGAGAATCATCGATCAGCTGCCTTCTGCACACCCCCCACTGGGGATGTGCCTGCAACCAAGGTACATGCCCCTCACCGGAATCGAACCTGGGACCATTCACTCCACAGGCCAATGCTCTATCCACTGAGCCAAACCGCTTAGGGCCCCAGGGTCAGTTTCACCTTTCTACCTGAGCTCCCTGGACAGGCTCCAGCCACTTGTGGTCCGAAACTGGAATAATTAAGTTGGAAAATCATTATCTGATTTGTTTCTACTAATCTTTCTTACAGTTATCTATAGCTCACATTTATTTCATTGTTCAATATTAAAATGGTTTTGAATCTTTCTGTAGAAGTCGGGTGATGTTTTTGTGGCCAGAAAGGTGCCGTAAGGACTTAACCTCTCCTATCAGTTGGCCTGTGGTCAGAGTGGTTTTCGTTATCCATCGCTTCCCTTGAAGTCATGGTTTCCAAAAACCTTTCGGCGATGTTAGTGAGCACGGACTGTACCCCTAAGCCACAGGACTCTGTAGCAGCTAGGAGACTCTTAGCTCCAGGAACCACAAAACGGGCAATTTGTGGCCTTGCTTAAAGATGTACACTTTAGCTCTAGCTGGTTTGTCTCAGTGGATAGAACGTCATCCTGTGGACTGAAGAGTCCCAGGTTCGATTCTGGTCAAGGGCACATGCCTAGGTTGCAGGCTCAGTCCCAGTGGGGGGCATATGGGAGGCAGCTGATCAATGATTCTCATCATTGATGTTTCTATCTCTCTCTCCCTCTCCCTCTTCCTTCCTCTCTGAAATCAATAAATATATATTTTTTAAAAAGATGTACACTTTAGCCGAAGCTGGTTTGGCTCAGTGGTAGAGCGTCAGTCTGCGGACTGAAAGGTCCCGGGTCGATTCTGGTCAAGGGCATGTACATTGGTTGCGGGCACATCCCCGGTAGGGGTTGTGCAAGAGGCAGCTGATCGATGTTTCTTTCTCATCAACGTTTCTAGTTCTCTATCCCTCTCCCTTCCTCTCTGTAAAAAATCAAAAAAATATATATACCCTTTGCACTCCGAACCATTCTGGACATTGGCTACCAATTACTCAGCGCTACTTTGCGAAACGTGCGTTGAATTAACTCAATTCCCCGTAATCACTAATAAACTGCAATGTCCCCTGAGAGGGGACATCCGAGTGATATGCTAGAATTCCGATGTCCCCTGAGAGCGGACAGCGGAGTGCAAAGGGTATATATATTTTTTAAAAAGATGTACACTTTAGAAGCATTTATCTCAGTCTGTTCAGAAAAAGAAGAAAAAAAGATGTACATTTTACATTTGGCTTTCTGTTTGTTTTGATATTTTGAAGTACTTTTTCCCCACAAGTTTTTCAAGTAGAAGTAGTGATCCTGCAGCCCTAACCGGTGTGGCTCAATGGATAGAGCGTTGGCCTGCAGACTGAAGGGTCCCAGGTTCGATTCCAGTCAGGACATGTACTTTGGTTGCAGGCACATCCCCAGCAGAAGGCAGCTGATGTTTCTCTCTCATAGATGTTTTTAGCTCTCTATCCCTCTCCCTTCCTCTCTGTAAAAAATCAATAAGATATATTAAATAAAGATAAAAAGAAGAAGAAGTAGTGATCCTGCAGCTGCACCGTGTTTACCGAGCTTTCCAGAGCCGCCGCTCTGCCCTCTCCCATGCTGGAGGCACGGCAGGCAGCACTGTGCGAGGCGGGTGTGCACCAGAGAAAGCAGAGTCCCTCAGGCCATCAGCACTTCTCTCCTTCCCACCCCGCACAGAGTGCTGTGGTTATTTTAGCTCAACTCTCTCCTCCTCCCCCTCAGAACAGCTGCCTACGCCAGGGCAGCCCACTGGGCCCCGAGGCGAAGGGCTCTTTTGTCGGCCATCACACTGACCAGGAGGCAGACAGTCCCCAGTGTTTTTAGACAAAGGCTCTATGTTTCCTTACTCCTACTGGAAAACGTGTTTCCTTTCTCTCTGGTGCTCAGCCATACGGAACGGCAACAAAGACAGAAATGATAAGTAATGTTCCATTTCTGGAATCATCTCTTCTGTAACATAGCTTGCCCTTCAGGCTCTCCCAACTGCCAAGACTAATCGACCTGCATAGGAGCATTAAATGCTGGATAGTACAATTGTCTTATTGTTATTGTTAATTCTCAACTGGGTATTTTTTCCATTAATTTTTTTAGAGAGAATGGAAGGAAGGGGGAGAGACAGAGAGAAACATCAATGTGAGAAAGATGTATCAACTGGTTGCCTCCCACACGTACCCTAACTGGGCTGGGGATCCAAGGGCTGGTGCAACCAAGGTATATGCGCCTGACCCGAATCGAACCTGAGATCCTTCCGTTCTCAGGCCACAACTCTATTTACTGAGCCAAGAAATATATTTTTATTTATTTTTTACAGAGAGGAAGTGAGAGGGATAGAGAGTTAGAATCATCGATCAGCCGCCTCCTGCACACCTCCTGCCAATATTCCCCTACTGGGGATGTACTTGCAACCAAGGTAAATGCTCTTGACTGGAATCGAACCTGGGACCTTTCAGTCTGCAGGCCGATGCTCTATCCACTAAACCAAACCAACTAGGGCCAGAAAGACTATTTTCATTTGCCTTCCTCTGTAGAGCGTTCCTTTTATGTCATATATTATGTCTAATTCACTGCATAGTGAATCGTGTTCCCGCTGCATCAGGATCCTTAGAGGACATAGCTCTCTGCTGTGGGGCTCCCGAAGGTAATTTCTGAATGCGTGACCAGACTTAGGGAATAGACACTGATTGGCTAAGACTCTGATAGAATCAATATAGCAATGCTAAATTCTGTGCTTAGAGTCCTTCCAGTGACCCTCTGAGGTAGATATTATTGTTAACTCCGTTTTATAGATGAGGAAACTGAGGCAGAGTAGTTTTCTGAAGATCATACAGCTAATAAAATGGTGAAGCCCATGTGGCTCAGTGATTGAGCATCACACCTATGAACCAAGTCACGGTTTAATTCCTGGGCAGGGCACATGCCTGCGTTTCAGGTTTGATCCCCAGTAGGGGGCATGCAGGAGACAGCTGATAAATGATTGTCTCTCATCATTGATGTTTCTATCTCTCTCTCTTCCTCTCTGAAATCAATAAGAATATATCAATATTTAAATAAGTGGTGAATCTGGAATTAGAACGTAGGCAGTCTAACCCCAGGATCTGGGCTCCTAACCACAGTACACTATACAAAACGCTTAGCCAAGTAAGAACTGCTTGACGGTGTCAGGTTTCACTTGGGGTCTTGGGCGAAGGACTTTTCCTAAACTTCAAGGACACCAGCTTCAACTTCTCAGGATTAGAGGTCACCCATGAAGAGGGTGGCCAGGAATCCAAGGGTGTGTGATTTTTTTCTGACACCAAATGTGATGTCTGCTCATCACCAAACGGTTCTCCAATTCTTCTACACCAAAGTAGGTGTCTGACAGTTCAGTTCCATTCTGACTCGTAACTACAATACAAGAGTTAGCACCATATTCAGCATGTTTAAGGGCTCAGCCTCACAAACTGCCCCCCCTTCAGAAGCCACAAGCGAGGTGTCCAGACTGTCCAGCTCCTGCCTGGAGGGCTCCCAAGCCGCCGCCTCTGGTTTGGCAATTCCCTGGGTGCAGGAGAGACAGCTGCCGGACTAAGACGAAAACTCATTTTCTCTTTCAGGACTCGCTTGGGTGTTGGGAGATGCTGAAGAACTGCCCTTTGATGAAGACAAGTTTGATGTTTACACCATTGCCTTTGGGATCCGGAACGTCACGCACATGGACCGGGTACGAGTGGCTGCATCTCGGGACATTGGCTCTGGTGTGGCTCCACGGTGAATGAAGGATGAGATTCTTTTCTGGGCTCGGATCTCGAGTGCAATGACTGTTGCAGAGTCAGGGGCCTCCATCCTTTAAGTTGCCAATATTCCTACTCAAAATTGATAAGGACCAAGTAGAGCAGATGCCAGAGAAGCCTTTGTTGCGTGGGTTGGTATTTCTTTCTTTGAGACCCCTCAGTCTTGCTCTGAGGTTTCATCCGTTTCCTCTCACTTGTGAAGCCATCCGACCCTGAGAGTTTGCAGAAGCTTAGCGGCATTCCTGAGGTTGACGCAGAAGCAAGCACTCAAACGCTATTTTGGCAGAAGGTAGCTGTAGACTCATGGATCCTCTATAGAGAGAAGGGAATGTAAAATTGCTTAATCTGATGCAACTCTTTATTTCTACTTTAGCATTTGAAGACAATGTACAAGGCATCAGTTTCGGTTCAGTAATATGGGCTCCAGTTACCTGATTCTTCTGCTTTTGCTGAGACACCCTTTATGGTGGTCTTTAGCTTTTTAGCTTGGTTTTTGTGACCTGTCTGTGTCTGTAGTCAGTTTATTATTTCTTTTCATTAAAAAGAAGTGGAATAGTCCTAGCTGATTTGGCTCAGTAGATAAGAGTGTCAGCCTGTGGACTAAAGGGTCCCGGGTTCGATTCTAGTCAAGGGCACATGCTTGGGGTTGTGGTCTTGATCTTCAATAGGGGGGGTGCCGGAGGCAGCCGATTAATGATTCATCATTGATGTTTCTGTCTCTCCTCTTCCTCTCCGGAATTAAAAAAAAATAAAATAAAATAAAATAAAATAAAATAAAATAAAAAAAAAATATATATATATATATATATATATATAGAGAGAGAGAGAGAGAGAGAGAGAGAGAGAGAGAGAATATATCTTGATATATTTTGGAGATTTTTCCATGTCAGTGCATAAAGAACATGGCACTTCCTTTTTCCGATAGCTGCATGGATTCCATTTACATAGAAGTTTCATCATTTAACCAGGCTCATTAATGGTTAAGATGCTTCTAATCTTGTGCTGTTCAAATAGTGCTGCATGTCATTTCCATAGTAGAAGCATTTCTGTGAGATAGATTCATTAATGTAAAATTGCTTGATCAAAGAGAATATGCATTGTGATTTTGATAACCAAAAATTGCCCTTGGTGGGGGTTGTACCAATCTGAGTCTGTGTAAATCAAGTAAGCTTCTCTTTTATATATACACTAGAGGCCCAGTGCACAGATTTGTGCATGGTGGGGTTCCTTGGCCTGGCTGGCAATTGGGGCCTATGGGGCGGGAGGGTGGGGGGGTGCCGCTGGCTGGCCAAGGGGAGGGACCACAGAGGTTGGCCCAAACAGGAAGTTGGTTGTGGGAGCGCACTGACCACCAGGGGGCAGCTCCTATGTTGAGGAGTTAGTGCCCATCATAGCAACGGGTCAACTGGTTGTTCAGTAGCTTAGGATTTTATATATAGAGAGAGATGTTTTATATATATATGTATATGTATGTATGTATTAGTGCCAGGTGCACAGGTTTGTGCACATTGAAAGGAAATTAATTAGAAGAAATATTTTAATATCATTATTCATCCTTTCTCTATAATAGAAGTGTCGACCAAATTCACAATTGACAGTGATGGATCGAAACACACGCATGCAATTGGCGCCAGCGAGAGCTTTATATGTATCATGCATGCACGAGTCAACTTAGCCTTTTATAGATAGAGAATAAACTTGCTTATTAGACCTGCTTTCTGATGTAGCTAAACTTTTCCAGCCCAGTGAAGCACCTCAACTTCTCTTTAATGTAATTGTCAGCAACACAGCAGTAAATAGCAACATGAAGCAGATTATTATTGTAGATCACACAGGGAGAACAAAGGGTAAAATATTTAACTGCAGCAGTGTTCGACTATATTCTAAAGTCATTTTCAAAGTCCATCATCTCTTACTTCTTTTCAGTCGGGTCAAGTTTCTAAGCTTTCTAAATCTCTGTTTTCTGGCTAATGAAAAGAAAATTCCACTGAGTCTCTATCTACCTACTCCAGGACTTCTGTGAGGATCAAATGAGATGAGGCACGGGAAAACGCTTCACAGGCATTAGGTTACAGCGTGGAATGTTTCCACCTGGCTATAAAGCAAGTCATGTTTTTGGGCTAAAGAAACTCCAAGGAAGCTGGTGGCTTGGGAGAGGAAGCCGGGCGTTGCTATGTGACATCATTACTCAGCGCCCGCCGCAATGGGCTGTGGGCTGCATTTTGCGCCATGGGGTCTTGGCAGTGTTGGCTGCTATTTGGTGGGCTGTCACTCTGGTCTGGTGGCAGGGCCTGTGTCCCATTTGGGAAAAGCCGAGAGTTGCTTTGTGGGCATCAGGTCCGTGGTGCCATCTCTTTGTAAATGGCCAGTGTGGGTCACAGCAGCTCCTGGTGGTCAGTGTGCATCATAGCGACCAGTCAGGGGGACACTTAACATATTGGCCTTTTATATATATAGATATTTTATTGATTTCAGAGAGGAAGGGAGAGGGAGAGAGAGAAACATTAATGATGAGAGAGAATCAAGCCTGCAACCAGGGCATGTGCCCTTAACCGGAATCAAACCTGAGACCCTTCAGTCCGCAGACTACCACTCTATTCACTAAGCCACACCAGCTAGGCTCAAGTAATCTCTTCATGAGCAACAGAAAACCTATAAAATATAGGGTGTTATAGGGTTATTTCTGCTGTTACATCTTCTCAACTGACAATGAACAAAGGATCAGTGGGACATAACTTGTAATGTCCACAGAAGCTAAAGCTGCCTGGGCCTCCTGGGACTGAGTGGGTCTGCTGAAGAATGTGTCCTTCTGTTTCTTTTCTCACTCAGGCACTCCAGGAAGCTCATCGGGTCCTGAAACCAGGAGGACGGTTTCTCTGCCTGGAGTTCAGCCAAGTGGACAATCCCCTTGTATCCAAGTTGGTATTGTTACCAGGGCTTGATTCTCATTGATAACCAGGGGTTCCCATTCTAAAATGTACAGAAAGTAGCCAGTAAGCAGGAAGCATGAACCTCACAGCCTCTCCTGAATGAAAACATCTAGGCCAGGGCAGTCTCACACCAGCAGCCGGAGGCTTCAGTCCTGGCATTTTAGTAAGTTGGTTTAGATGTTCATATTTAAAATTCATAAAAGTTTACATAAAAATCTGGATTTTCAGCTTCACCTGAGAAATCAGAAAACATAGCGACCCTGGGTAAGCCGTATTCCCACATGGCCACGGTCTGAGCTGAGCAGCAACCATCCCTTCTCCCCTTTACGGCACCTCCTAACGTACCTGTCACCGCACCCTTATCGCTCCCCACGGACCTTGCACCTGGACACTTCACTGAGTTTGGGTACTTGCTTGACCCACTCGGCCAGTGGTTCTCAGCCTTCCTAATGCTGCGACCCACAGGTTGAGAACCGCCAGCAGGGTCACCTAAGACCATCGGAAAACACATATTTACATTACATACCAGTAGCAAAATTACAGTTATGAAGTAGCAACGAAAACAGTTTTGTGGTTGGGGGTCACCACAACATGAGGAGCTGTATTAAAGGGCATTAGGAAGGTTGAGAACCACTGCTCTGGGCATCTGAGTTTGTGACCCCGGGCTTAGACCTTTTTGCTTCTCACCGAGGGGCATGTTCTAACCTTAACCTTTTGCCTTTTTGTCTAGGCTTTATGATCTCTACAGCTTCCAGGTTATTCCTGTCCTGGGAGAGGTTATTGCAGGAAACTGGAAGTCCTACCAGTACCTTGTAGAGAGTATTCGAAAGTTCCCAGCTCAGGTACAAAACTCCCGTAACTTATGCCAAAGGCCTGACAGGTGACATCGAGGTGATCCTTGCCATGTCTCCCTTTGTGTTTTAGGAGGAGTTCAAGGAGATGATAGAAGATGCGGGTTTTCAGAAAGTGACTTACGAAAGCCTGTCATCGGGCATCGTGGCCATCCACTCCGGCTTCAAACTGTAACTCGTCACCGCCCTGGGGCATGAGCCACACATACTGTCAGAAGCCGGCAGCTCAGGATATCAGGCTGGTGAGCTGGCAACAACGTTTCCTCTTAAGGATATGTGCTTTGGACTCATGTTCCCATGTGACCAATCCCAAAGAAGAAACAAATCTGTCACTTGATTTCAGCTTTCACTGGGAACTGCTTCCTGCAGGCCTTCTCCCCGAGGTAGTTTTTGCTCCGTTCCTGCTCCGTCCTCAGCTGTGCAGTGTGTGGGGAAGGTAAAGCCAGCACTAACGCTCAGTTTAGAGTGTGTTTGGAGTTTCTCTGCTGGTTCTGACTTCCAAGAGGACAGTGGATCATTTGAATCTAATGATTTGAACCAGAAAACTTCCTAACTACCTGAGTCAGCCTTTCAGCCTAGGACTGGTTAAGGGCCAAAGCCAAGGCCTGTCAGTGCTGACAATCACAACTAGAATTATATACTGAACCACTAAATGACTTTACAATTTGTATAGTATTTGTAAATCTTTTCTTGGAAATACATTCATTTGATGCTACCAAAGCCACTGTTGTTCCCTGTGCCTATCATGAAGAAAACAAATCCAGAAAACTCCTCTTTTATGTCTTAGAAATCTTTGTCAGGATATATTTGAAGGAAGGATTTTATAGTAAAAAATGTCTGAAAAGTATTTATCTGGCCTAACCTCCTCCAGTGCTTGGGGGCAGAGCTCCTGTATCCTTAATGTAGTAATTGATGTTAAAAATGAGGCCCTATTTTTTATGTGGATAAAGCTTAAGGTTCATGTGGGGCCTTGCTAAGAAATTGCAGAAACCAACCTGCGAGTTGGCCGGCACTTTAATTGTAAGTAACTGAGATCTGGGCTATTGGAACAGGCTGCCCCTTGTCCGAGCACAGTAGGGGTCATTTATGTGCCTTCCCTCAAGATTTTGCCTGTCACTGAAAAGCTTTCAGATATAGCTATCTGTATGCAACTGTCTCAAAGACAAAGACAGCAACTAAGCATCAATAAAATAACCCTGCCGAAACCAGTTTAGCTCAGTGGATAGAGCGTCGGTCTGTGGACTGAAAGGTCCCAGAATCGATTCCGGTCAAGGGCATGTACATTGGTTGTGGGCACATCCCCAGTAGGGGGTGTGCAGGAGGCAGCTGGTCGATGATTCTCTCTCATCGACATTTCTAGCTCTCTATCCCTCTTCCTTCTTCTCTGTGAAAAATCAATAAAATATATTTAAAAAAAAATAACCCTTATACAAACTTTAGCTTACTCCTCCAAGCTGGAGCCTATGGGCCTTTGAAATTAACAAGGAGCAGGCACTAGAGGGAACTTCATAAAACATCAACCCAGTCCTATTCCACAGCAATGTGGTTTCTTCACATCTTAATTAAAAAAAAAAAAAAAAGGTAATGCTGTAACCGGTTTGGCTCAGTGGATAAGAGTGTCAGCCTGCGGACTGAAGGGTCCTAGGTTTGATTCCTGTCAAGGGCATGTACCTTGGTTGCGTGCACATCCCCATTGGGGAGTGTGCAGGAGGCAGCTGATCAATGTTTCTCTCTCATTGATGTTTCTAACTATATCTCCCTTTCTCTCTGTAAAATATATATAAAAATATATATTTTAAATTTGATAGGGGAGAAAAAAACAGACAAGTCTTCCTAAAATTGATAGCAGGAAACCTTTAATAGTGGCTATACTTACCCACTTTTAACTGGGTCTTTTAATGGAAACTTCAATTTACATTTGTTAATTGGGTTTCTGACCACAACTAGTTCAAGCACTGCACAGCAGGCTTACACATTTAAATTCCTGCAATCACAAGGAAGGCTGCTGCTCAAAAACTTTCCCTTTTAAAACCACCTTTAATCTTTACAGTATCCTTTTGGGGCCTGGCAGGGGAGGGGAATAGCCCAGAGACTAAGTTTCTCATTAGCTCGATACCAGCTTATTTTCACATTTTACAGCCATGGAAAGCTTATATCAACAGTAACACCATTTTGTTTTTCAGGGAGGAAGGGAGAGGCAGAGAGAAACATTGATGATGAGAATCACTGATCGGCTGCCTTCTATCACTGAGCCAGCAACCCTGACGGGGAATTGAACCAACACCTCCTAGTTCATGGGTCAACACTCAACCACTGAGCCATGCCAGCCGGGCTCTATATCAGCATCTTTTAACAAAATGAGCACCTAAACACAGTATTTGCCAGGTCAGGAATAAGACTTAACCCGTTTCTGACATGCACTTCTGAGTATTCTGTCATGCATAACAGAAACTGAGTAGGCTAACCCTGGCTGGTTTGGTTCAGTGGATAGAGCGTCCGGGTCCGCTTCTGGTCAAGGACACAAGCCCAGGTTTGGGGCTCAATCCTGTGTGGGGCATGCAGGAGGCAGCCAATCAATGACCTCTCATCATTGATGTTTCTTTCCTTCTCCCTTCCTCTCTGAGATCAATAAAGACATATTAAAAATAAAACATAAGCTCAAGAGGCCAATCTACTATATTCCACAGAAACTTACTTCAGGGACTCACCCCAATAACCGAGATGGCTATGAGCCAACACTAGTTTAGTTGAACAAATTATAACACACAGTTCTCCGACAAATTTTATTTTGGGAAAGGAATGGATTTTGAGGAGAAAAAAACATGGGGCAGAGAGGTATGGAATAGAAAATAAATACAAATGTAAGCTTCTTTGCTAATTGTTTTATAACAACAGATGAGTACAGCGATACCCTGTACGAAACAACACAATAAAGGTTCAAGATCAAGGTGTTCCCTTCGGCAAGGCTCAAGACTCTCAGTCTCTGGTATTTGGAATTTAGGCTGCAATCCTTATTTTTGGATGGATCACTGGGTGTGTGGGACAGTCCATGCTTTTAGCCAGATTTGAACAGAAGAATGGCCACTTGGCCCAGGTAGAAGTAGATGAAGTGTTTGGTTTCATGTGTCACGTAACTACCGAAGTTCCTCCCCACGATGCAGTGCCAGGTGGGGTTGTACTTCTTGTCAAACTCCTGGGGGAGGGGGGAGGGGAGAAAAAGAAGACTAGAATGTTAGTGCTAAATCAGAGGTCAGAGCCTGCTGGGGCAGAGGGGAGGAACGTTAGCATCTGCAAATTCTTAGAATGAAAGAATGTTTCCCAGCTCCAAGTCGCCTACATGGTGCATTAATGCAAACATGCTTGCAGTCTGCGCTGAGCTGGAGAAGGGGGCTGGGCTGTAAAAGGCAGAAAGGCAGCCTCGAAGACTGAGCACTTTGTTACGGCAATTCCACCTTTAAAGCTTCCATGTAGCATTGACAGTTCTCGTTTATCTTATGTGTAAACAGAATCCCTCTATATGTCATGCACCCCCAAATGTAAGAAAATGGTAAATGTTTAGCTCAAAATACCCCATTATAACTCATTTCCTTAACTGCACTCCAGTATCTCTGATATGGGGACAAAGTCTCAATTCGCACCACTGTGGATCAAAAATTTAATTTAAAGAGACATTTGGCATGCCACTACTCCTATAAAAAGAATGCTGGAAACAGAATCTGACAACCACCTGGCCAAATTTTATCCTTAACTGTAATTTCAACAGCCCTCCTTATCACGTCCATCTTGATGCTGATACACCACCTGGTCCACAAGGATAGCAAGCTGCCGCAACACTTTCCCCCATTTCCCGACCCCAAAGGGTTTGAGAACTAACTAGAAGGCCCTTTTAATTTTTCACAGGGTGACTAAACAGGCGCCAAAACTAACCCTTATCTGTAAAATTATTAAAAGTCTGCGGTTTGGCTACTCTTATCTTGGGTGCAGCATTCTCCTTTTAGATTGAGAATAACATTCTCACTGCGTTTGTCAAAAAATGGTATTTATTTCTATTCCATCTGAAGCCTATCTTCCTATTCCCGACTGGAACCCTGTGGACAAGTTAGCAGTTCTGCCAGCTTTCTACAGACTGTCATTTACCAAGCCCCCTCCCCAGCCCCCAACCACCAGCACCACCCACTTTCATCTGCGACTGAACTCCGCGCTGGAAGGCTGGCACGCTCTCCCTCCGGCTGGCTGGCTGCACCCACGCAGCTCCCCCCTCGAGCACCCAGATGGATCTTCCGCGCAGAAATCGTGCAGAAGGGGGGAACCGCTGCTCCCTGCGCTTAGAAACCGTTGCTAGGTGGCGCTTTCCCCCCGCGGAGCTGGATAATAAAAAATTAAAAAAAAAACTTGGGGCGCCGAGGCTCTGGTCTTCCCAAGAGGAGCACAAAATTCACTTGCATTCTTTCTGGAAAACTCTACACCCAAGCTGCCCTGCGTGCCCTCGTGGACCGCTGCCAGGCGCTCTGGGGATGCATGACCCGGACAAGAAGTTGTGGCTCCCGCCAGCTGTGCGCAGTCAGCCCGAGCCCCTCCCGTGCCCCCTCCTCACCTTCTTAATATGGGCCGCAATGTCCTTTTCTATGTTGTATTTCTCCAATGCCTGAGTAGCACATTCCACGGAGTCCTGTTGCATCTCCTCCGACATGTCGGCATTTTTGATCACCGCCTTTCGGTCGCACATCGTTACCTGAGGAAGGAGGCCCAAGCGAGGGGTGAGGAGCTGGGGGGCAGGGGGGTGTGGACTGCGCCTACGATGCACCAGCTCCCCTGCCCGCTCCGCGCGTCCCACGCCATCCCGGATGACGCCCCCCGCCCCACTGCTCAGGGAGGCGGGCCGCGCCGATCCACCAGCGGGAGGACTCCAGCGGGTACAGAAGAACCAGGTAGCGAACCCCCCTGAGCCCCTGAGTCTCTCACGGTGGAGCAGCGGCTGGCCGACTGCAACAGTCTCCTGGGGGAGGGGCTGGCGAGGCTCAGACCCAGCTGGCGAAGGCGTCGCTACAGAGTCCGTGGCGCATCTGAGCCCCACGGCAGCTGCCGCCGCCTAGAGCCTAGGCTCCGCCCTGCTTCTGGAGACCCCGCCCCCAAAACATTCCTACTGGCTTGCCACAGCCCTCAGGGCTCTCCCATTGGCCCATGGGCTCCTTTCCCTCAGGATCTTTCTCCAGCATTTTGTTGCAGACCACAATGCATTGCTCGTGGCGTCTGTTGCCCCGGCAATAAGCTGGGCTGCACGCGCTGTGGCCCACACACCGCGAAGGTGGAGCTGGGGCGCGCAATGGAGAACCACCCAGCGGCTAGACGGGTGCAAAGGGAGTTTCTGTCCAAGCCAAGGGAAGTGATTCCAAATTTACGGAGGTTGTCCCAAGACTTGCTCTTGAATAGATAGTTGGGTCCATTCTGACTGAGGTGGCCAGGGCCGGCTACCGAGGCAAATGGTCAACGCAGTCGCAGAAGAGGGAACCCCTGGACTTGATTTAATGCTCTACTGTCTCATTCTAAAATTATTATCTTTTTAAATAAGAGATCCTCTCCCCTCCTCTCTGTAAAAAAAATCAATAAAAAAATGCAAGTAATATATTACTTGCATTTTTTTATTGATTTTTAAAAATATATATTTTGATTTTTTACAGAAAGGAAGAGAGAGGGATAGAGAGTTAGAAACATCGATGAGAGAGAACCATCGATCAGCTGCCTCTTGCACACCCCCCACTGGGGATGTGCCTGCAATTAAGGTACATGCCCTTGACCGGAATCGAACCCGGGACCCTTCAGTCCGCAGGCCAACGCTCTATCTACTGAGCCAAAAAGGTTTCGGCTTTTTTTTTTTTTTTTTTTTTTTTACAGAGAGGAAGAGAGAGGGACAAACATCGATGAGAGAGAATCATTGATCAGCTGCCTCTTGCACACCCCCTCCTGGGGATGTGCCCACAACCAAGGTACATGCCCGTGACTGGAATCGAACCGGGGACCTTTCAGTCCGCAGGTGGAAGCTCTCTATCCACTGAGCCAAACCGGTTTCGGCCCACATTTTCTTTTAGCACTGGGTCCCGCAAATTATGTAGCCTGTCCTTTTAAATATTGGGGAGCGGTTCCTCAGGAATGGGAGAGGGGTTCCTTATGATTTAAGGGATTATCGCAAGAGTTGGGTCTCCTTGCTGTGCAATGCAGCCCTCCTTTCAGAGCATTGAGGGCCCTGCGGGTGGGTTTGGGTGTGTGTGTCCAGGGTGGGGCTTCTTGCTCTGAGAGGCTGTCTTTCCAGTATGGTAGTTTCTTGAAGGATGACTTATATCTAGGGCAGAGGTGCCCCAGTGATCAGAAAGGAATCCCTCAGAGGTTATTTCCTCTGGCTTAGGGAGGCCAACCTAACCATTAAGTGGTTGAAAAAAGCAAGGTCTTGAGAGGCTAGGGAGCAAGGTCAGTTCTGGATTTAAACCCCAGCGGTCATTTACTAGCTGTTTGAATCTCATTTTTCTTATCTGTAAAAGGAGCTAAATATAAAAGAAATACACGTTATAGGCATTTTGCAAGTATTAAATGAACTAATAATGCTTTTTAAGTTCTCAGCACAACTGTGTGGCATTATAGTAGGTATCCAGAGAATCTTATCAATAACTAATTATCCCAAGAGTCAAGGCAAGGTTTTGAACCAACCCTTAAATGCCTATATTTTTGAACTTCCACAACAAGTCATCAGGCTAATTATGTAACCAGAAGCTTTCTGTTTACATGTCTGCATTTTCTTCTTGACCATCTGCTCTCATGAGCCCAGAGCCCCTTACAATCTGACCAGCCAGAGGCACACAACTCCGAAAAGGAAGAAGTGGGAACCGTGAGAACCTTAGGTATAACATATGCATATCCATTAAATTAAGAAATTGAGAGGCTTTTCCCAGTTCCAGGTTTCCAATACTCAGACTGTAAGTTTGAGGAGTGAAAATAGTTATAGATGGTGTCGCTCCTGAAGAAGTTGGGAGTGAGGTTGGGCTGGTGCTTCTACCTGACTTGGGTGAGGCTGGATCAGTGCTTCTACCTGCCTTGGTGCGTGATTCAGAGCTGTGGAATCTGATGACCCAGAACCTGAATCTTTCATGCAGGCCTTTACTTTTATATATATACTAGTGACCTGGTGCATGGATTCATGCACATTGAAAGGAAGTTAATTAGAAGGTGGCCAGAAGGTGCGGAGGGCCAGACACATGCCCTGGAGCCAACCTCCTTTGTTCCTTCCCCAGCCGGCCTGCTGAACCTGGGGTGGTGCCGCAGCTTGAAGGGCAGCTGCGAAGTGAGTGGAGTCCCTCTGGCAGGTGGGGCCCCTCCACCTGGCCTGTGGGAATTTGGCCAAAACCAGCTCTCTGACATCCCCCGAGGGGTCCCGAAGTGCAAGGAATCGGGCTCCCTCCTCTCCGGTTCTGGGGTGCATCACCAGAGAGCCACCACTGCCAGGTCACTGCAGCTTGGCAGCTCCTGGGTTGAGCATCTGGTCACTGGTGGTCAGTGCCCGTCATACCTACCGGCCCATCAGCCTATAAGCCGGCCGCTTAGCCTTTTATATATATAGATGAAAAAAAATAAATAAATAAAAAATATATATATATATATATCTCCCTCTGCTCCACAGCATGGCCAGCTTCTTGTTTGAACAGAAGTTGCCAAGAGTAGAGTGGATGAGGTAATAAGAATAGCAGCTGGCCGAAACTGGTTTGGCTCAATGGATAGAGCGTCGGCTTGGGGACTGAAAGGTCCCAGGTTCAATTCCGGTCAAGGGCATGTACTTTGGTTACGGGCATATCCCCAGTAGGGGGTGTGCAAGAGGCAGCTGATCAATGACTCTCTCTCATCGATGTTTCTGACTATCTCTCTCCCTTCCTCTCTGTACAAAATCAATAAAATATATTAAAAAAAAAAAAAAAAAGAATAGCAGCTGTTTCTTGAGCGATTGCTTACCACCAAGCACTTTGCATTCACTCAGTTATTCCTCACGACAACTGTGCCTGGGACCCCTTTCCTCCAATCTCCCTCCTGGCATAGCTGTCTGCTTATTTAATTTTAGCTCAAATGCTACCTTCCCTGAACTCCCACCTCTACTTGCTCTCTACCCCTACCCTTCAGTTACTCTCTACAGCACTTTTAATTCCTTCATTGTACTTGCCTCATTTATTCCTTCAAAGGAATTGTCTCATATATTTATTTGCTTGGTTGGTCATCTACCTGCCACAGCCTATCTTGTTCACTACTGCATCTTCAGCATCTAATTCTGTCTCTTCCACATAGTGCGTGTTGAATTCATACCAAGTCGTTGTCTGGCCAGTGGCTCAGTGGTTGAGCATCAACCTATGAACCAAGAGATCACAGTTTGATTCCCAGTCAGGGCACATGCCCGGGGTTGTGGGCTCGATTCCTGTGGGGCATCCAGGAGGCAGCCAAATCAATGATTCCCTCTCATCATTGATATTTCTCTTTCTCTCTCACTTCCTCTCCGAAACCAATTAAAAAAATATATAGTTCTTAAAAAGTTTTCTCCATTTGTAGCACCTGCCTTCCCTAATATTTGCCTGGGTTTGAACTAGCTCTTGACCCTAAATATTTTCTTTAAATGTGAAAGAAGTGCACTACCAGAAACCCATGCCTTTCAGGCCTGTCTTGGGGACATTGTTTTTAGGGACCAAAAATCTTCAGCCTTGAGCATCAACCTGTGAACCAGGAAGTTTGATTCCCAGTCAGTGGCATGCCTGGGTTGTGGGCTCATTCCCCAGTGTGGGGCATGCAGGAGGCAGCCAATCAATGATTTTTTTAAATTGATTCTTTTTTACAGAGAAGAAGGGAGAAAGATAGAGAGTTAGAAACATCGATGAGAGAGAAACAATCAGCTGTCTCCTGCACACCCCCCATTTTCTATCTCCTGGATCTGTATTCAGAAGCTTCCTCCTGGTGAAGGACTAGCACTAGCCGGGGGCTGGCAGGAGAACTGAGCTTTGGAACTAAGCACTGTACTGAAGGACAGAGTGAGTGAGGTCAGACAGGCAGGGGTAACCCAAGGAAGAAAGTCTCCCTCTGGCCAATAGCCAAGCCTCACCTGAGTGGACAGACACCTGTGAAGGCCCAGTACTCTGCCTCCTGTCCATAGGGGAAGTAGGTAAATTCAGGCACATCCGAAGAGGCCTAGTAGGCCCCCGTCAGCTCCCAGTCAGTGGGCAGACAAATGTAGAACAGAGACTAGAAGTACAGAATTTGAGGCCAGGCAGACCTGGGTCTACAGATCTTGACTCTACCCTACTAAGGTGTATAACTTTAGATAAGTGAGTCCATCTTTCTAAGCCTCAGTTTCCTCATTTGTACAATGGGTGTTGCAATATCCTTGTTTCTCAGGGACAATTTGGAATTGAGATGGTGCATGTAAAGTATGTAGTGCAGAATTTGGCACATGGCAAAAGTCAATGATCTATACTAATAAAAGGGTAATATGCAAATTGGCCACGATGCCCTCACAGTAACAACCGAACAGCAGGCTGCATGGGGCGACAGGACTGCCAAGGAGTTAGCGAGGGATGACCAAATGACTGAGCAGCTGGCTGACTGTGAGGGGCAACCAGGCCAGCAAAGGGGGGGGCAGTGAGGGGCAACCACTCCAGCAGGGGGGACAGTTAGGGGCAATCAGGCTGGCAGGCAGAGGTGGTTAGTGGTAATCAGGCTGGCAGGGGACAGTTAGGGGTGATCAGGCTGGCAGGCAGGTGAGCAGTTAGGAGTCAGCGGTCCCAGATAGTGAGAGGGATCCCGGATTGGAGAGGGTGCAGGCTGGGCTGAGGGGAACCCTCCCCCGTGCATGAATTTTGTGCACCAGGCCTTTAGTGCTAGAATGTTACCCTAAACCAGGATTTTTCAACCTTGGCACTAACATTTTGAACCGGAAAGTTTTTGTTGGGAGCCATTCTATGCATTGAAGGATGTTTACCAGCATCCCTGGGCTCTGCATTCAGGATGCCAATTGCACTCATGCCCAGTTGTCAACTAAAAATATCTATAGACAACACCAAATGTCCTCTAGGAGGTGAAATCACCTGCAGATGAGAACCAC